CCCTCTCCTCCCGTGAAGCACACTCGCACGTGGGAACCTCACACAGGCAGAACGGCCCCGCGCCGACTTCCAGCTCCGCCAGGGCACAACAACCGCCCTTTGCAGCTCGTCTATATTGAAGGAGTTTCCGTTGTAAATGCCACTAGCTGGGGAGGGCTGGACTGCACGAGCAGAGCAGCGAGCGCTGGGCATTGAGAAATGCCACGGCGAAAGGTAACCGCCCGGATTGCGGCGCCGATTGTTAAGCAGAGCCACGTTGGCGTCTTGGCCAGAATCCACCTCCACTGCGGAGTTATCACGCGGAAAAGCAGAACAATATGGCCAAGAGCCTGGTGGGAGAAGATAGTATTGCCCCTCCGCAGGCCACGGCTCCCCTGGCCTACGTCACCGCGGATCGCGGGGCGCGCTGCCCGGCCCCTCCCCCCTCCGCTTCCAACTCCCCTCCCCCCCTCCAGCCCCTCCCTGCCAAGTACCATTAAAGCTCTTTGGAGTTAAATTAGGATTTGTATTCCCAGACTCAATTTATGGTAACTAACTACGTCCCACGTAGAGTAGTTGAGGCGAAGAAATGAAGTTTTAAGAACAAAAGCAAAACGAGATGAACTTTCAAGGATATGAGTAAACAGCAACAGTGACAATCGCGTTCAAGCTCCACTCAGCAGAGCAGCTGTTCTCTTTGCAGCATACCCTTGGCTCTCTCGATTTGGGACTTCGTGTATTGATACTCTGCACCCGAACTTCCAGAAACACTCCTCAGGAAGTTCAGGAACGCACACAAATCTGGGACCACAGGGAGGGTCTCCAGGTTTAGATCTGGCTTGAGGCTCAGTGCCCAGGTGCGTGAGCCGGCTGGACCTGCATCCTGAGCACGTCTGCACGTATGGATGCGTGCGTGTGTGTGCGCGCGTAAACAGCCTCCAGGAACCCGAGCTGCGGCAGCCTGAGACCTTGAGAAGAGGGGGCGACCACTAGCCGCTGGGATCGTGATTCAGTGCGATTAGGGGAAGAATTATCTGCGTCTGAGTCATCGTGAGCCTCCAGACTTTCTCCGCAGTGTGGCAGAACTTTGTGCTGATGAGACAATAGTGGAGCGTGTGCGTTTCCTACAGGGCAGACCATTCCCGGGCTGGGGGAAGCCTGGGGCCTGCGCCGGGCGGGGGGCGTCAGGCCCCCTCCCTGCACCGCACAGCCCCCGGTGCTGGGCGGGCGTCGGGGCCCCAGCGGGGCGGGCGCGTCCGGGGCGCGCGCGGGCGGCGCGGGGAGGGGGCCGGGAGCGTGGCGGGCCCCGCGCGCCCTCGCGCGTCCCCCGCGCCGGGGCGCAGCTGGCGCGGTCGGTCTAGTGCTGCGCTCGGCTCCGCGCCGCGGGCGCTCAGCTTCACCTTCAGATGCGCGGGGCGTGCGCGTCCTCCTCCCCGGTACCGCCGCCTCCCCGCCAAGGTAGGGGCCGCGGGCGGGGGCGCTGCGGCGCCCGCGCGCGGGCGGGGTCGTAGAGGCCGGGGACCTGGACGTGCCTGGGACCCTGGTGTTCCTTGTGGGGTGGGGGCACGCCGAGGTGGGGCTCCCCGGCGCGGCGGGGGGGCGACTTGGCTTTCCCTGTTGGTAGTTGCTGCTCTCTGCAATTCCCGGAGTGGGAAGATGCAACTTCGGGCGGCGGGCGAGCGCCCGGGAGGTGGTTTTTACCGCAGTGGAGGGGCGGGGTGGGGGCCAGGATGGGAGCGCGGAAGAGGCTCTGGCTTTGTACACTTCGTCAAAGGCGACGCGGGAGGAGGGGAGCTCCGATGCGCTCTTCATCCATTAGGAGACAAAGAGCAAATTGCCTTACTTTAAAGTAAAACGCTCTGGCTAATGAAGGTGGGTGATGGGCTGTGGGGCCCGAGGAGCCGCTTCAATTATTAAGGGTTTGGCGGAGGGGATCGATGCCTGTGGGCACTGAGCGCTGCTGCCTAAGGGACATGTTTGCGGGAGGGGGGGTGGGGGTGGGTAGTGGTGGTGGTGGTGGTGGTGGTTTGTTCCTACTGCCCTCTCCCCTGCTGCCTGCCCATCAGCCCTGAGCTTTTGAGTGATCCTAACATTAAACTAGTGGGAGCTCTGGGAAGGGAAGTTCGGGCAGGGGTGGGGGCGGGGGCGAGCTTCTCTCGGTGACTCCGAGTGGGGTGGGGAAGGGACCTGGGGGGCAGGGACTCCTCGGAGAGGAGCCGAGTCTTGCTGAGGTCGGAGAAGGGTGGGGGGTAGGGGAATATCTATGGCGATACACACACACACACACACACACACACGGGTGTGTAAGAGAAGGGTGCAGTGGGATGTGCGTTGGCGGGGTGGGGGCGGGGGTTGGAAAGACACCTTCTCTGCCATTTTCAGGGAGAATAGTTACGATCGGTGTTTAGATTTAACCACCTCGTCAAGTTTTAAAGAAACTTTGTTATGAATAAGTTTAAAAGCCAGCCGAGTGGGGTATTTAAACCAGCGGTTTATGGAGGAAGGTTGGTGTGTGGTGACAATCGGGCGTTGTGACCTAGGAAGCTAGTGGATCGCTGCAATTAGAGACCCAAGAGAACCAGCCTTTTACACGAAAAATGTGGGTCTGTAAGTCAGCCCCATTTATTACTGGATTAATAAGCTTCCCGCAGCAGACCAGGATCAGCCCAGGAGCTCTGGGGCTGTGTTTGTATCTCACTCATTCCGCTGGCTTACTGATAAAGAGTCACTTGGTCTCCGGGTGTGCAAAGATCAACTTGCACAGCCCTCTTTTAAAACATATTCATTCTGTGCCTTATTTAATCCAGATGCACAAAAAGCCATTTGCTGCTTCATTGTTGGTTTACATTTTTTGAAAAGGCGACTGGTGTAACCTGTGGAATTTGAAATGCAAATAAAAGCCTGTGGGAGTTGAGGCAGAACAAATCAGCATTTACAAAGTGAAAAAGATTTAATGTCTTTGAAATCATTGCAGGGAAAAAAATTGGAAGAGGGAGTGTGATTTTTCACTGTGAATTGTGACGTCAGGTCTTTTTGGAAAAGATGTTATTTTTAAGGTCTGAAACCCGGGTATGTAAAGTGCTTACAGGAAAAACAGATTACAAGATTAACATCTGTTAACATGGTCGTTCATCTCCAGCCAAAAATAGGTCAGTTCTTTCTTAAGGAAGCATGATTGTGGCGCATGCTTAAATAATAAAAATAAAATAATGAGCTAAAAAATTAGGGATGAGCGTGTGTTATAATCTGACCTGTGAAAAACATTTTATTTTATTTTTTAAATTTCTAAATCAATGAAAGGTCAAAGTCCTTTCTGGGTGTGAGAACAACTCTTCACCGGCGTCCACCCCTCCCGGATGACCCCCTCCTCCTTACATGGAGCTGCCTCACCCGACTGCTAATTTCCCTTTTCCACCATTGTGAAAGTATGAGATATATTTAAGTAAGAGACCGTTTGATGCTCCCCGCCTTGAAGGAGGCAGACTCCCTGCGTAGATGGCTAACTTTCAGGGTCTGCCTGTTGTTTTAACATTAAATGAGACGGTAGGGAGAAAAGAAACTGCCTCCGAAGTCTCCCTGCCCCCTGGGTGTGAGTGACGGCTCTGTTGGCCAATCCGAAGCGATTTTCTCCATCCCGGAGGTAATTTGGGATGTGAGTGTGTGTGAGCGCGCGCACGCGCGCGTGTGCATGCGCCCGTGTGTCTGCACACTAAATCCGACCAGACCCGCGCATCCGCAGGTTCCTGCATTTGCACAGATGTGTGATTTAGACGTGGACACGCGTTTATCCAAGTCTGTCCACCTAAACGCGCACACAGCAGTCCTAAGTGGAGACTCTGCCCCCTTCGAACGCCCTCCTATGAAGAATGGGCATTAGAGGTACTTTTGGATTCAAGTTGAAACCTGCAGAAGGGGAAAAGAGGAAGATATGATTATGCTTCTTAGCAATTGAGGAATCGAAATGTGCAGCTCCATCCGGCTGGTTGTTTCCAGTCAGGCGCGCCCTGGCGCATTTGGGGTCTGCGTGGTGGAGCCCACTCGCCGCGAGAAAAGGGTACAGAGAAAGCGGATTGTTGAAACAGATGTTAACTCCCTTGAAAAGTGAACGGCAGTATGTTATCTTCCAACTTCAGATTTTATTTTTCTCACTGGAAGTTGATACTCAGCCCATGGCAAATTCTAGAATGTGAACTGCTTATGGTCAGTGAAAGTTCTGCTGCCCACCCCACTTATGAATGTTGCGCCCTGGCCGCATCTGCTCCGCACAATGCGCGTATTCATGGGTGGCGTCACGGGCTACCCCAGTGCTTCCTACGGACTCCCTCTGCAGCGATTTCCCAGGAATATTGGCAGTGCTGTGGGGTTGATGTAGCCCGCGCCTCAGGAAGTGCATGGACGGGTCCACTTAGCTTCTGCTTGTTTAAGCGTTGAAGACGCTGTGTCTTTGGGGGAGCCCGGTGGGGAGCTGTTCTTCTGTACACTCCGGTTGGTGTTAATGCAATGATCGGTTAAGGACCCAAGGGCCTCCCTCTTTGAAGAGGGGCCTGATCCACACCGGGTGTGTCTGTGCCAGGCCGCGCCGAGATCACCTCGAGGGTCCATCGGTGGCCCCAAGCGCCCTTCGTCGCTCTGGCTCCGGAAACGTCCAACTCCATTACGAGTTGGTGCCCGGCCCACGCCCCCACCCCGAGTCCTACCGATGTGACCCCCTCCCCCGCCCCCCTCAGCGAGCTCTGCGGCGGGAGGAATGGGCTCGTCGTTGGATTAAATCATTCCTATTTCTGTGTCTCGGAGCCGCCGCGGCGCTGGGCCCCCGGCGCCGTTGGGGGGTGGGGGGCGGAGTGCGCGGCCGGGGGCGGGGGGCGAGCGGGGCGGGGGCGGGGCGCCTACCTGCCCGCCCCGGGGGCGGGGGCGGTGCCGCTGGTTGCCGGGCGTCCAGGGGGCGGGCTGTGGGCGGGGAAGGGAGGCCCGGCCCGCCGCCCCCGCCCCCGGGCGCCCGCCCCTCGCCCCCGTCATGTGGAGCGGACGTCACACGCTGCACTGTAACCCAAGAAGTGAAAGAGCCGGGGACCCGCAGCCCAACTTCGCACCGTAACAAAGGCGGGGGTCCGTGCGGACCCGGGCGCAGCGGGCTGGCGGGGGCGCAGGGTCGGGGCGGCGCGGCTGGCTCCGGGGCAGAGGCGGCCGAGACCAGGTAATTGGTTTCTATTTTAAACTTCACTTTGTTCTGGGGGAGGTGGGGCGGTGGGAAAGGCGTGGCCCCCCGAGGAGGTTACATAAGTCTTCCCACCTGAGTTGGGTCCTGCGCGGAATGGGCGCACGTTTGGGGCGGGAGCGGTCGGTGGGCACCTGGTCTTGGGCATCTTGACGAGGGGCTGCTGCGTGTTGGGTTTGTGTCCGACCCAGTCGGTGTCTGGCGATAAGGAGGCCGGAGTAGGTTCTGGGCTGTTTCTAGAAGCCCCCGAAGTGCCTGTGGGCTCAATGGAGCCTTCAGGGGTGTCCACTGCACAACAAAGGACAGAGCGCTTGGACCCCTAGAGCACTCACTTAACCAGCGAGTCACAGAGGAACTTTAGACGAGGTCTTAATTAAACATAAAACATGTCCCTTGAACCTGCCATTAAGTCTCTAATCTTGACTAAAGGTGACTTAAAAATTGAGAGATGTGCGTTGACTGGAGTAGAAACAAAGTGGAGAGCCCCCCAACAGGATGTTTTCGAGATCATGGTGCAAACCACCCTGTTATGATAGAAGCATTTTGGTTTAGGAATGTGTTACTTTAAGGAACTAGGCATGCTTGCTATTTGATAGGATACTTGCTACTGCCATGTTAAGAAAAGAGCTCATATTATCATTTGTTTCTGTTTTTTCTTGCAGTCTTTAATTGTGGCCACAAAATAGCTGCATTCTTATTTACACAGACTGGCCACGGTTAAATATATGACACACCACTATTGTGTATGACTTTGAGGGCCCCCTTTCCCCCTTAGTAAAATGAAGAAAGCAGTTGAGCAGCTTGGCCTGGTGTCAGGGGTGTTCACAGTTGGGTCACAGGAGGAGGACATCTTTAGTTTCACCAGAGTGACCCTATAGCCCTCTAGAATGGGTTCTAGGATAAGCAGCTTGGTAAGTATTTTTGTAACTGAGTTAGAATTTTGATGTGTTAAGATACAGATGTGTATAATATTTCTCTAGTTTATTAGTGTGATTTTTTTTGTGCTTGGTTAATTTGAATATATTGAAACATCCAGAATACATTAACATTCTAAAAGAATAGCAGTGCCAATGATCTGTAATAAAACTAACCAAGAGAAGTGGACATTCCTATCTGAAATGAAACAGAACACCAAAGTAGCGTATTTGGTAGCATCTCATTGTTTTTAATAGTGAATAGAGGGAAGGGAGATTTGGTTATTTGTATTTCTGAAAGCTTTTATCAGAAGTCTTTCCAAATAGGCTAATATACTGAAACATTCTAGGGTCAAGAACTTTAACTTTGGGGTGTATACCTGATATTAATTACTGATGTCCCACGAATGGTTTACATCAGAGTGTTTTAGCACTGCAGCTTTTCAAAGTAACTGATTTAGAGATTGATTTTTCCCTCCTTGGAATGCCAAAGTCTTACATTTCTGATTTTATAAGATGTTCCAGAGACCCCAATCAAGTAAGCTGAGTGAGGGAGCTCTTGTAAAACAGGTCACAGTGTTAAATGCACATCGTCTCTACTTCCATAAATGAAACTTTTAACTCCTCTTACCTGAGTCCAAAGAGAAGATAATTTGGGCTTTTTAAGTAAAGCATTTGATGCGATTAAGTTTAGCAACATTTATGTGAAAAGAGAAGGAGATTCTTTAAGGAATACTTTGAAGCGGGGAATACTCTAACGGATGCTTCCAGTCTTCCCAAATGGGCAAAAAAGGAAAGTGCGATCTGGTGATTTAAGTAGAGTTTAGTCTTAGATCTTTCCTGAAAGCCAGGACTCAGGTTATGGGGTTGTTGTGGGTTTTTATTTATTAATTTTTCCAGGATCCATATTGGTCTTACTCATAATTTATCACAAAGAATCTTAGAAAAAGAATTTTGTGGGAGTGGCTGTAAGTCTGACTGAGTTGTGTTTAGAGTTTCAGCGGCATTTTACCTTAATGCCATGGAAATAGGCATTAAGGGAAATAGGAAGCTGAAATATAAGCTGATTACCCTGGCTGGAGGGAGCCGGCCTGTGCTCTCCTCTTACCAGTGCTTGTTTGGGCCCTGGGGACATTGTGCCGTCCTGTGTGTATTCTACTTTTGACTGAGGAGAAAGGGACTTGTGGCCATGTGTTAGTTATCTGATTGCAAGTGGTGTTTTTCTTATAATATAGCAGGTTTCTGACTGATGAAGGCATTGCTGTTGAGTGCAGGACTTGCATATCAGCTTTCTCTTTGGTTTCTAGAAGGCCAAATTTATCCAGAGCCGTCCAACTTTGTGATTGACGAGATTTAGTCGTAATTAATAGGATTAAGGGAAGAAAGCAAGAAGAAACCTAAATTTGTTGGATTAGATATCTACATGATAAATATTTCAGCTCGGGAGTAGCATTCCTTCCCGAAGCTGGCGTCGCCCATGCTGTGAGTGTGTATACCTCGGTGCCTGGAGAGGCTGTTCTGGCACAGTGAGTCCTTTCAGTGATGCGAGCTTTGCAGCCTAATCCCTCCCCTCCGAAGGCTGGCAGCGGTGGAAGAGTCCAGTTAACTCTCACCTTCCTGCCTGCACGAGGAAGTGCCAGGGGTCAGTGCACCACACATGGGGCTGGACGTGGGCTTTGTCTCTGCGCCCTGATTTGTTCATCGCCCCACGGCCACTCACACAAGGGCCTGCACTGGGCTGCTTGGGCTGGACACCTGGGCCTTGGCTTCCAGAACTGGCGAGGCTGGTGTGTGGAAGACTTTATGACTGTGTTCAGCTCTCAGGGCCAGGCAGCTGGGCAGCGGCCCTTCCACTCTTGTGGGGAGCTGCATCTCCTTTCAGTCGGCCTTGTCCAGTGAGCTGCGGCATCCTGATGTGGGTCTTCTGTGAAGTGTAAGTAGGTGGCGGTTGGGAGAGTTGTCCGGGTGCTCCAGCCGGGAGGAAGATGGAGGTCCTGGGAGGGCGAGTGTGGGGACCAGCCAGTGCTGCCAGTGGGGATTGACTGTTGTTTGGGCTCCCTTTGGGCCATCCCCCTCCTGTCCTCTCCAGGCGGCCCCTACCCGCGACTGGCCCAGTGTGCAGGCAGCAGCCTGCCTAGGGCTTGAGTGTATCTGAGGGCAGTGGAGGAGACAGCATGTCCACATCCAGCCCTGGCCTCTGTTCTTTCTTGTCCTGGGAACAACTGAGTTTGAAGTGGGGGAGGTGGAACATTTCTTTAGAGGAGTGACCTCTGCCTGGAGTGGTCAGGTGAGGTTATCTTTGGAGGCCATATTATCTTTGAATTTTTAGGAATTTTGGAAAGTTGTTGTAAGCCTATTTCAAGAAAGGAATCACATCTAGTGTTTCTTTCCTTTTGTGAAGAATCTATTAATAAAATCAGCATCATGGGAAGAAGAATAAAGAAAGACTTACTGTGAATTTGGAATGTCTCGTCCCAGGCTTTAAAAGGCATCTTTGAGATTGCTTTTCTGGTTTGGGGAGGTGCAGTTTGGGCGCATGACCTAGGACGCCACAGGAACGGTATATTAACAGACTGAACTGCCTGTGGAGGTGTGGAGAGTATTTCCTGTGAGCTGGTGGCAGTCAGCAGTTGCAACTGTCCGTTTTTCATTCTTTATGCCCTGCATCTGGCCACACGTGATGGGAGCAGCTGTAGCCTCCACTGCCAGGGCCAGAGCTGTCGTGCTTGTGTGCAGTGTGCAACGCTTTCCGTGCACACATGCAAACTGCGGAGAAGTGTGATTTTGTGGCTCTCAACGTGCTTTAAAAGTAGCTTTCCAAAAGGGATCTGGCATTTAATCTTCAGTCCAAATGGTACCAAAGATCACAAATCACAGAAATTAGAATTTTGACTGTTTTTAGAAAGCAAACGTGTAAATATGTTTCACAAGTAGAGAGTAAGACATAACCCAGGAGAATAAAGAAACATGGACTGAAATTTTCTCTCTCTGGTGAGGGTTTTGTGTGTTTTGTGTGTGTGACTACTTTTTTGGTAGTCAGGAATTGCTTTTACTAGTCAGAAAATTGACTTGCTGAGATAAACCGTGTGTGTGATTGTGAAGTGGAGGCAGTGCTCAGCGGAGGGGAGGGTGGGACGGAAGATGGAGCTGTTTCCTTGTTTCCAGGCAGAGTGAAGCAGGTATCTCTTCCTTGAGAAGCAGGTAGACTGGGCTCCGTGCTTCCCGCAGCCTGGGATGTCAGCGCGGCCTTTTGCTCACAGCTCTCCTGCTCTTTTCTTGTTCACATGTGTGTAGATTAACGTGGTGTTAGCTTTCAGGACATAAGCGAGACTTAAAAATTGAGGTTCTCTGTTAAAACCCTTAATTTTTGGTTCATGGCTGATAAGTAATTTCTTTCACTGTCATTGACACTGGGATACTCTTCAGTCTCCAGCTCTTACATGTGTCAGTAAGGGACATTTGTTTAGGAGTCTCTGTCCTTTGTTTCAGCAAAGGGCAGCATGTGTCTGTCTTTGCCATATGGTACCATTTAACCTGTATTGCGTGAGCTGACGAGGCACTGTGCTAGGCATTGATTTATTTCGGCATTCAGGAACGTTCTTTGAAATTTAGTGCAGCCAGTGATGGGTTGGGAGTTGTGCAGAGGGTTTGCTGGGGCTTTAGCAGCTTCTCAGTCAGCTGGAGCTTCAGGGGAGCACGCAGGTCTCATGCTCTTCTTTTCCTGAAGTCACTTTTGTGGGTAGTTGTTGGCTAGTAAGTGTTGAGTGACTGTGTTAATTCAGGAAAAAGAGAGACAGTAGGAGTGGCTGAGACTTCTGCTGGTTGCAAGTAGAGCTCCAGGTTGGGCTGAGCTGAGAGGATCACTGTTCTGTTCCTGGTTGTGCCAGGGATTTTAACTTGGAGTTAAGAAGTAGAGCCTTTTCCCCTTCAGACTTGGCGTCTTTCCCCCTGGAAGGTGCATCTGCCATCAGACGTGTCTGTGTCATAGTTTCATGGAGCTTCAGTGTGGACATGCTTTGTTTACACATGTTGAGTTTGAAGTGTTTAATTCAGTGCATTTAATTC